TTTTTTTTTTTTTTTTTAAGAACTTTGTAATGAGAAAAGACTATTCAAGTCAGTTAAATTTATCATTTTATTGTTTTAACACGAAGAGACTTATTTTTATACTGATTACATTCTTGTGATAGAATTGATAAGCCTAATTTTTGAAACGATTTTCGAATACGTCGCAGAAAAGTATTTAAAGAAATAGTTTGTTTTTCATTCAAGAGACGAGAAATAGAAAATTGCCAGGGAATATAATTCAATTTCATTCTTCGTCTTGTATTTTTATCTAAATTTTCTTCGTAAAATGTCACGTATTTCTTTCGAAGTAGTAATATTTGTCACCACTAATGATTACGAAGAAACGTACGAAAAAATTTAAAGTAGAAACCTACGTTTGAACGCTGTATGAAACTTATTAATTTATTTGCCCACCGAGAGCGGTAAATTTCGTTGGAATGGATTTTATTTGAATCGATTTTACTTCATTTATATTTTAGTCACGTGTCGTAAATACGGTTGGTTGCACATGTATTTGTCGTTCAAAATTTATTAAATCATACTATATTGTCATTGCTTTACATGCGAGCGATGATATTTAATTAAAATACACCTACATTAATGTGTTTCCCGCGTCAAACGTAAAGTGATCAACTTCTGTGCATGAGAGTGTACCATCGAGTTTACCACAAACTTGCTTGGGAAAATGTTTCCAAAAGTGGTACATGCATAATGCAAAGAAAGGTTTCTCGTCCGAGTGAATATGGTAAGATAAGAACTATTTCATAAATTTTCAGTGAACACTCGGGATCGACTCGACGAATAATATATATCGGCCCCTCGTAGGAAAAACATTTGCTCTCAAATAAAAAATTAATTTAAATGAAAAGTATATGCGTGAGTATACTCCATCGACCTCGAATTCAAGATAAAGTTTCTACAATTGTATTCTCTCACACCATCTTATTGACAAAAAATCATTTCGAGCTCAATTTTAATTTTCTAATCATCTGTTGTTTTAATTTTCTTGAGCAATATACGTGTATTCTTGCACATTTATATTTTCCATAAACGAATAAGTCGATGAAGAATTAGTACCTATATAAAATGGACAATTTTATTATTTATTCTTAGTAAAAGTGAAAAGATATTACATACGAGAGTACTAGAACCACCAACAACTTAAAACTTGTATCAAAGAAACAAAAGTGCAACGAATATGAATAAAGAACACAAGATCCTTCACAGTCACAGTATATGAAAAATCGCGCAAGAATCTTCAAAAACGTGCCAAATGGACCAAATGGACCAAACTTCTAATAGCTTCTAGAAGCTATGAATCATCTTGAATTTATTCAGATAGTTCTAGCGTTAAATAAATGAATTATCACGTCCATCGCAAAGATGGATACGATTAAAAAAATATAGCAATAAAATATTTTCCAGGTTGAAAAGTTAAGGACCGTCAACGAAATCTTCGTCAAGGCATCGATCCTCGATCCGCGTGCGCGATCAAACGATCCCGAGGGGGTAGCTCTTCTTTCGCATGAAACTTCAAAACACGGAGGCGCGCGCTGCGCGCGTCGGCACAGGCATCGCGACGCCTCGCGCCGACGTGGTTCTCGCGATCGGTCTCCCTCTCTCTTTTTCTCTCTCTATCTTTATTCCTCGGCCCGCTCCTCTCTGTCTGTGTTCCTTCGACGCTCGTTGAATTCAGCACGTGGCATCAAAGGGAAGATATACAGCGGGGTGGTCGCCTGTTCCCGGCCAAACGGCGACGACCCTCGCTCGTCGTCGCTCGTTCTCGCGCGCGATTTCGAGGAATTCCGCTCGCACTCGGCAGAGACGCGAAAATCGTCATTTGTCAACCGCTACCTGTTTGCTCGGCTTCCGCGCCGCGAAACACGCACCCCCGCCAACCGGCAGAGACAGAGGAATTATTC